CTAGATATTATAGAAGAGCTGAATGATACTTATGCTGATGTGCCTATCTTTAATACAGTTCTAACTATCGGAACAGAATGTATGTATTTTGAGTATAATTTTGTTCTACTTACGTCAGGATGTTGAATTGGGTAGTGTGTTGAATTCGTTTTTATTTTCAGCAAAAATAGAAGAAGTGCAAGATAATTATGCAGATGTACATTTTAATGAAACTGTTCTACCTATAGAAGTAGGAGGTAAATATGTATTTCAAGTGTTACTTTGTTCTGCCCTGATAACATGTGGTAGTGAGTTCCTAATGTGTTGAATTATTCTTATGATTTCCAGGAAAACAAGATAAACTACAAGATAATCATGCTGACGAATCAATCTATGACCGAGTCCTACCTATCGAAACCGAAGGTATTTATTTCAAGTATCATTTTTTTCTGCTTCAATATCATCTGGAAATTGATGGTATGTATTCAATTTGTTTTATTTCCAGAAAGAATAGAAGAACTTCATCATAATAATGCTGATGTGCCTATTTATCACCCAGTTTCAACTATCGGAACAGAAGGTATGTATTTTGAGTATAATTTTGTTCTACCCCATTATGTATAATGGAGTAGTGTGTTGAATCAATTTCTGATTTCAGAAAAAATAAAAGAAGTGCCCGATAATTATGATGATGTACCTTTTTATGACCCTGTACTATCTATAGGAGTAGGAGGTATGTATTTGAAATATAATTTTGTTCTGCCTAATTTCATGTAGTAGGTAATGTGTTGATTTTCTTGTTGTCATTTCCAGCAAAAATAGATGAACTACATGATAATAATGTTGATGTACCTATCTATGATCCACTCCTACCTATCGAAGCAGAAGGTATGTATTTCAAGTGTTAATTTTTTTCTGCCTAAATATCATGCGGAAATTGCGGATTTTTCGAATTTGTCTTCATTTACAAAAATAATAGAAGAACTGCATGATTCTAATAATACTGATGTACCTATTTATAATCCAGTATCACCTATTGAAGCTGGAGGTATGTATTTCAAGCTCAATTTTGTTGGGCCTTCAATATTCATGTGTTGAATTTGTTTTTATTTCCAGAAAGTATGGAAAGGATGCATTATTATAAGGCTGATGTACCTATCTATGACCAAGTCCTACCAATCGAAGCCGGAGGTATGTATTTCAAGTGTGATTCTGTTCTGTTCCAACTTGGGCCACTATCCCTTATCTAGTAAACTAGTATAGATACAAAAAAAAGTTGTTAAAAGTCTTATGATCTACATTTTTTTGATAATGTCAACTATACAGGATGATGCATATGCCTGTGATATACCAAATATAAGTTTTCTCAAAGGAATACCATAATTTCCATTCCGTGCCTAAATAGAGCTCACAAAGTCGGGTTCAATGATATATTACAAGGGTCTCAGTACACCCTTTTCGAATTCATCCATGATTTTTTAAAATAAATTGCCAAGTTTCGAAGCCCTATATAGAATCGTTCAAAATTGTGCTTTCGATGCGCATTTAGATTCGATATGTCATCTTGATATATGTCGTCATAATTTGGAAAATTCTAATTTTTCAAAAATGATGACGTATTCTCGAAACCGATTGTTTTCACGGAATCTTCTGATGTGATACTCTTTATTTCATTTCATTCTTGGATGAAGCTCAGAAATACGAGTTTAATGATATATGATAACTATGAGAGCGCCCGTTTCGGATTCATCCATGATCTTCTAAAATAATTAGTAAAATTTCAAAATCCTGGGAAAACGTTATGCATTAGGTTTTCCATACGCGATCTTCGTTATAAGTCAGTTTGCAACATTTGTCATCACTTTTGGCAAAGTCAAAAGTTCTGAATATTGACGAAAAATCGAGATAACATATAGTATTTTTTAATTAATGACGAAAACTGCGCATCGAAAACTTTCAACGTTTCTGTGAGGCTTTGAAATTTGGCAATTTATTCATATCCGAAACAGTTATAGGTAAGTACTCAATCGCCCAGTTGCAGAGCCAAAATGCGAATTCAACTCTCGTGCGAATGAAAAAGAAATCGCTCAGGAATATTATTGAATATGAATAAAAAACACCTTATCCGATCAACTAGTTTCACGAAAGGTTTCAATCTAAATTGTATAGTTTGCTTTGGAACTATCAAATAATGATGTATTTTTCGAAATTCTGACGTCAAATTTTCACTTATCTTTTGACGTTTCGGGACCGGTTCTGCTCCCGTTTTCAACATAAGAGGAGATTATTTCAATAGCGAAGTCGTATAATGTCTTGAAGCTTTTCAGTTTTCAATGACAATTGTTGACGTTGGCAATCAAATGAGTTACAGGATGTTTTCATTAATTGATCTTGAATTTACCATTTTCATGTTCAGATTTTAGTAGTGAATACCATGTTCTGTCTATATCAACTGAACAAGAAGCAATGTTATTGTCTCCGTTCAGAAGAATGCAAGCAGATTCCTTGATTTTTCTCTTCTGGTTGTTATCTTCTTATGTTGAAAACGGGAGCAGAACCGGTCCCGAAACGTCCAAAGATAAGTGAAAATTTGATATTTTTTCTATATACCTTTATTTCCCTTCTCCAAAAATTTTTTCAATACAAATTGTCACTGACAAGCTAGTGAATTTTTCTTTTAGGCTCTCTGATAGAAAATTCTCTGAACGCAGTGACATTTTGGGGCAAATCATCTGATTTGTCCTTACTACACGTATATTGAAATAATATTCATATTTTTATTTTATAGAAACGAGGAGAGAAAAACCCAAAAAATTTGGAATAATGAATATACCACCTCCTCGATTAACCTACAGACAGTATTCCATTATTATTTTTAGACATATTGGTGTCAGATCAATTCACATAACGCCATCTGGTAGTAATGACTCCTCTGCTCCTGCCTTCACTATGACTTCCCCATTACGAGGTAAGGCTGACTATGACACTTATTGTAGTTTCTATCATGAAATAAACATTCAACAAATTCGTTTGTTACAGGTGCAGAATCAACACATTCTACTGAAGATTGCAATGATTCATTATATATTCCAAATCAAAGTGATTACTCGGATACTTTATCAGACCATATAGAGACAAACTCACAGACATCAGAAACCAATGCAACAAAACGGCCCTCTGTTAATTCGTCCACAGATTTAGAAAAATCTCTTTTAATCAATAAAATTGGACACAGTGCTCCGGACGATGGCTGTATGTACGTAAGAACCGTTGAATCTGGTAAGAAACGGGATTTTTGTGTCTACTGCCTAACTGAACAGGCAAAGTTAAGTCGCCATTTGATAAGGCAGCACAAAGATAAGGAAAGGGTTATGCAGTTACTGACTCACAGCAAAGGGAGCAAGGAGAGGAAAGAAATATTTGCCACTATCCGCAAAAATGGTCAATTTTTCTTTAATACCAACAAATCTGTAAACAATGGAGAAAGAAAAGTGATCAGACGTCCAAATGCGAGATTCGGAAAAGCCGCAACCGATTTTGTGACTTGTCCGTCGTGTTGCGGAGATTATGCTAAATCAAGCCTTCGCCACCATTATCGACGATGTAATAAATCTGAAAAAAAAAAAAACATAGAGACATCTTGGTGCAATCTCGACAGATTGTTGGGCGTATCCACAAAAAGACTAGCGACGTTTTGCGAAAAAGAGTATTTCCAACTCTACAGGAAGATAGCGTAACTAAAGAAATACGTTATGACGAATTGGTGATCTTATTCGGAAATAAATCATGTCAGAAGTATACTGCCGTGCTAAGCCAAACCCCCGTATTTGAAAATTTTTAGAAATGGCGGAATATTGATTTGTAATTTCTCTTTTGTTTGTTGCTTCAATGAACCTCTGCGTTATTGATAGTAGTTGCTTAAATTGAACAATAAGGGAACTAACATCCTCATGTATACCTAAAAAACTATTATTTTATTGTTTATATGCGATAAAATCTCATACGAGCATTTTTTTAAAATTTATTTGGCTAATTTTCTTCGCAAATACCTCGTATTCGGCAGATACCGGTATTCAACATAGGAAATCCAGGTAATATTGAATGAGACAGTAACATATACTTTTTCAAGTTAGGTACTTTATTAACAGAATGTGAAATAATTATTGAATATTTGAGTTAGTACTTATTAATGGTAACTAAAAACATTGATTATTACGATATTGAGTAGGTATACCAGAAAAATAAACTATTTAAAGAGTAACCTTTTCTGGGAGGTCCTTCCAACATTTTTTTCGATTTTCTGGCATGATGGAACCTAAAGTTTTGAACAAATTGTCGACTTTTTCTTGTTCAAACCCATTGGGTGCCGTTTTTATGGAAGGTGTTGGCATTTCACCAATATGTTTTTTGAGCAAAGAGTCGATTTTTTTCCATTCTTCATCGGATTTGCATTTGTAATAAATTTCAAATTCATTTCTTTTTACCATCATTCCAGTTATTTTGGCAATATAGAACTCAGGATTTTGGTTTTTAATTTTACTAGCCGAGCTGAGATTTTTCCATTACTGAAAATCGTTCACTTTCATAGATTTAATCTAGACTTTTCCTTTATTGCTTGATTGTACTGAATTTTCAGAGTCTGCAAAATCATATGTTTAGCAATAGTCAGGATTCAACAGGTCTAATTTCTACGCATATAGCACGTATCTGAAAGCTACTAAACAAAATACCCGTATCTGATTTCAAATACGGGGAAAGCGCTCAGGAAACTAGAAATACTGGGTTTAGCCTTAGCATTTCTCAAGTTATTTTCGAATACGGGTTTAATAACATTTGATTTTAAAGATATCTGGCTCAATTACGGTGATTTAAGGTAGAAAAAATTGAAATTTTCTATATTTCAATCTACTACAGCAAAAAATCTCATTTTTCGATATATTTTCAAATACGGGGGTTAGGCTTAGCACGGCAGTATAGAGATCCCCATTTCTACGATATGATACGGCAAAAACTACGTCAATTAGGACGCTTCCTTCTAGAAATAAAAAAATTGGATCCAAAGATTGGAAATTTATTTGACGTCATTTACCCGAAAAACTACGACAATACAATCATTGCGATACAAAATATGGCAGGATTGAATGAATCAGGTATGTATCTGGAGATTAATTTTTTGTTCCAGAAAATGTATTTTTTTTGTCGTGCAAATATTTCATTATTTATATTTCCATAGAGGTTTCAGAGTTTCGCAAAGATTGTTTGATATTTCAATATTCATGCGTTTACAGGTACTGGTTTCAAGACTCCATCTTTGGCAACCTCATTAGGCACTTTACTAAAACAAGTAGGAATGTTATGCATATCTGTTTGGATAAGATCGCAAGAAAAACAGAAGCAAACGTTTGCCGAAGATTTTGTGAAATTGTTAACCGAAGATTATGGTACAACGATCAACCGAGCAGCATTGGAAACTCAGGCAAAGAATAAAAGGCAATCTAAAATAGTGCTGCCATTGAAAGAAGATATTCAAAAACTACAACGTCATTTGAGAGATAGTTTAAGAGCAAACTATGCAATTTTGAATGAGAACTTTTGTCAAACAGCTTGGTTGCAATTAGCAGAAACGGCTCTCTTATCAATTCAGTTATTCAACCGACGGAGAGCTGGAGAGATCGAAAGAATATTGGTAGATGATTTGTCATCATTCGAAAAAATTGATGAAAAATCTATTGGTGAAGCATTCCAAAATTTCACAATAGAAGAGAAGCAGGCTGCTCAAAAATACGTAAGGTTCACGATACGCGGAAAATTAAATCGAACAGTCCCCGTATTACTTCATAGAGAAGTATTGGTCTGTTTGCAGACTTTACTCCGTCACAGATCCCAGGCAGGTGTGAGTAGGCAAAATCCATATTTATTCGGGATCCCAGGAATTTTGAAAGGTGACTACAAGTATCTTAGCGCTTGCCGACTCATGCGAAAATTTGCGTATGAGTGCGGCGCGAAACAGCCTGGAACGTTACGAGGAACAGTATTAAGGAAACATGTGGCTACTATGTGCGCTAATTTCAATCTGCAAGATAGTGAAGTAGCAGATTTGGCAAGTTTTATGGGTCACGCCGATAAAATACATAAAGAAATATACCGTCAACCCATCCTCACGAGGGAAATTCTGCATATCTCCAAATTGCTAGAAGCCGTCCAAGGAGACAACGATGCCGATTCTGATATCGACTCCGATGAAAACGAAGAAAACGAGCCAGCAGCAGCAAACGTTAATACTACACAAGAAAATTCAACCGCGTTCCAAAGCGAAGAAGATGACGAAAATCATGGCGAAGGAACAAGTGGAAACAAAATTCGAAGTAATTTTTTTTACGGTGAAGTGCCCGCAAATGTATAGATCCATCATGACATGAATTCTTCTCTTGAAGGACGTCAAGTAATAATTCTGTGAGAACACATCCATAGGTTATAAATTTCGAAGTGATTATATCCTACAAGAGAAGGAATTCTTTAAACACAATGTGATATTTTGCTTGCATAATGTGTAATATTCGATCCAGTGTTTGATTCTTCTTTCATGATAGTAGCGGTGGAAATGTGGCATTTTCGTAACGTTCCTTCGATGTTATAGCGTTTGGAGTGGTCCTGTTGAAGCTGGGTAATCAATGAGCCTAATGACTTTCTTTTAAACCGATTCCAATGAAGCCGAACTCTACACGTGGAAACAGCATTCAAGAAATGGTTGACAGGATTTGTAGTGGGTCGGTTGGTTTTGTAGTGGGTCGCTTGGCTTTTGTAGTATGTCATTAGCTGCTGTGGGAATACCTTGACGATGTTGGCAACATGGTCATACCAAGACAAGCTGCTAGATACCGTTACGCAAAGCATCGTTATAGATGATGTTCGATCTTATGGATATGGTACTTCCAGTTATGATGATGTCAGAACACACGCGAATGGCTTTTCTTGAAGGAACCCTTGCTTGAGCCTTCGAAGCGATTAGACGAGATTCTTATCGCCCATTATTGAATCTCATTCAAATAATTATCCACTGTCCGAATCTGTTGTATTCAGAGGTTTTGATTGGATGATGCTAATATCGGTCGGAAGCGTATAACACTATTGATATGGTATCGTCAGTAAATCTGAAGACTGGGTTGGTGGTTATTCGCAGCAAATCGTTGATGAGCAGTTAGAAAAGTGTTGGAAAAAGGAAATTTATTCATCTTGATGATAGGAAATCATGATTCAATTTTGTATAACATCAGAAAAGTTGATTGACCATTCATTATTTTTGATAATTCTTCTCCATAATTTTTCAAAAATTTATATGTATTGCAGCTCCTCCTTATGGCAAATGCCGCAGGGTTCGCTGGACAACCGAAGAGAGAAGAATAGCTGCCGAAACTTTTAAGGATTGTTTATCAAGCAACAAACTTCCTTCATTCCAAAGAATAAATGAAATGATAGCTGCTAATCCAGGTGTATTCAAAAGAGGCGTTGCAACGATAAAAACTTGGGTGAGGAACGAACAATTGAAGAGAAAAAAACGAAAATCGCAAACAAAATATTCAATTGTACCTAACGAGCAGTACTTCATCATTCCATTTTGCTCATCGCATTGCATTAAAAACTTGAGAGGATATATAGCTATCTCCGCTGCAGCAATCCTTCATTTACGCATTTTACTCTTTTTTTTACTCATTTTTTTTTTTATGATATTACAACACCGATTTCATTAACGTGAATGAATCTTAGGCCAACTTTTGTCAGAACGATATTTGAATACTAACAAACATGTTGAACTCTTCAAATCTTTGACTCGTTTTTATACTTTGTCAAAATATCATTGTTGTGGCGAACATAGAAATTTTCGCCAGGTTTTGTTTTCATGTATATAATTGTATTTAATTTATCATAAACATTGTATTGAATTAGATATGTTATGGGGAAATCATTTCTGCTAAAACGAACCATTTCTTCTGATATATTGCGTTATTTCCGGGTGATTATCCAAGGTGTGTCGAGTACGTTGCGTTTGGCCCAAATTTCGATTCCCCCAAATTTCTATTCGCCCAATTTTCGATTCACCCAAATTTCGATTCGCCAAATTTTTTATTCACCCAACTTTCGATTTGCCCAACATCTCCGAATATACCCGAACGATGCGTTGTTGCCAAGAATCAAGAAACATTCTAGGCTTATCATTATTAATTATTTCAATTTTTTGATACACATAGGTACATATTTCGATTCTCTCAATTTTCGACTCACCTAATTTTCAATTTTCGAATCCCCCATATATCGATTCACTCTCTTTTCGATTCACCCAAATTTGGATTCACCCAAATTTCGATTTACCCTAATTTCGATTCACCCAAAGTTTGCTTGACCCGAATTTCGATTGACCCAAATTTCGATTGACCCAAATTTCGACGTAATATGAGGAAGGAAATATACTTCTCTGCATAAAGAAGAATTGAACCTTCCTCCTAGGAAATGTATTTGTCGAAAATTACTTGAGAGAACGACGGAGATCACTTTTTATAAACAATCTAACCTCATTTGGCCTAAATGAACCTCCCTAAAAAGTATATTTTCGGTAAATTACATGAAAGTATAGAGGAGACAACTCGTTCAAACTAACCCTTGTCCAAGGAAGTATATTTTTCACAATCGAAATGTGGGCGAATTGAAATTTGGGTGAATCAAAAATTGTGTGAATCAAAAATTGGGTGAATCGAAAATTGGATTATTCGAAATTTGGGTGAATCGAAATTTGGGCAAATCAAAATTTGAGTGAATCAAAATTTGAGTGAATCGTAATTTGGGCGAATCGAAATGTAGGTGAGTCGAAATAATGGCCGAACGACATATTTGAATGTGATGACATTATTGTTGCTACGTCAAAAATAACCATTCCCATTGAATCCGAGGAAATGTGTCAGTATTTGACAACAACGCATCTCTTGGGAATGTTCGTAGATGGTGGCTGAATCGAAATTTGGATGAACCGAAAATTGAGTGAAATGAAGATTGGGCGAATCGAAATTTGGGTAAATCGAAATTTGGGCCAAACGAGATGTTCCCGTATACCGTATAACTTCGATGAGTTGTTTCATATGTAGGTACTCAATTCCAAGTCTTCAGATGATACTAGGTTCTCTCCATTTCTTGTAATGATAGATTTTTATGTAGGTTGATACTGCTTATATACCGCTTTATATAAATGTTTGTCAATAAAAATGTCTAACATTTTCAACTGTTTTCATTTGTTGAATTTTATGTGCAAGGTGTCCTTTGAAAATTACTTCACATCTGGATTCTGATAAAATAAATGTGAATGTGGTCAGGAGAAACATAATTTTAAGTTGGTAAGATATAAATAGAGTATCCTAAAAAACGTGTAGCAAAAAGAAAATTCGCATTTTCGACGTAATGATTAATTTCTACTTAGTCCTTGTGCCACACCCATCAGGCATTATAATTTGGGGTTACTGAATGAAACTCATACGATATGTTAATAGGGTCATGTTGAACTTAAAAGTCGGGCAGTAGCTTTCAAATATGGCGGCCGTTCAAAATGACGAACGAATGTGAATATTTGAATTATCTCAGGATCGCATGAATCAATTTAACATTTCTTCTGCCCAAAATATAGGATATTCTGCTAGCTACATTTTTCTTGCCCATAATTGAGACCGATAAATTAGTATTTATATTCGAAAATTCGAAATAAGGTTTTTTCTATTTTGCGTAATAAATGAAGTCATTATGATATCGAAACAGCTTCTATTAGAAAACGCAATTTTTTTTTATTCGAAGTTAAGTTGGTGATGGTAATATCAACGTCAAACTGTCAGACACACTAGCGTCTAGAGACAAAATGCAACAAATAGATATAACATAACAGGTTATCTTGGGCATGTATTACCTTTCAAATTTGCTGGTAAGTTTTGTTGGGCTCCTATTGAGACAAAATTATGCTGATTGCTCATTAGTCTTATGATACAAGTTATTGTTTGTGCTATGCAACTGAGAGGTAGAGGCATCATAATGTGTTGTAGAAGTTGAAGGCTGAGAAGAATATCTTAAATTACCAAGATTTGGTAATTTGAGGTATTCTTCAATGATTAATGGAATTTTACGGCAATTGTGTTATAATTCCAATAAGACTATTTATGTATATGATGACCATTGGGGTATATAGTTCAAAAAAAGAGTTTACATTCACATATTGTGGTTTGTGGTGGTAGGTATAGGTCGCCAGTTTGACACCATGAGTATTTGAAAATTGAGGAATTTTTTTTCATAAGGTAAACGTGATTTCTTGCGCAACAAATCATTAAGGTAAAGCCTTGTGAGCAATTCCCCTCAGTTCATGCCTAGCAAACATGTATCACGTGGGCCATTGAATGCCCTCCAAAAACTGCCGACAGGCAACATCAGCGGGCCGTGATCATGATCACAGTAGAGAGCTTAATATACTGTGTCATGATACACCGTCGGCCCGGCTAGCCCGTGTCTCAGCGGCCGCAAGTAGGAGTGGGACTCGAACCGGCGATCGAAGGCAGATCCTATCCATTATCAGATTCCTATACCACTAGGCTATTGCGGAACTAGAGAGATTTTATTAGGAATTCATACGTCAACAGAATTGATATAGTACAAAATCCTTCAATCATATTTCGTATCTGATCATACGGAAATACCTACCTTTTATAACTTAGTTGATTTGAGGACGTAGAAATAGGTGTAGTCTGATAATGTTCTAGCCACATTGACTTTTCCAGTGTTTGATCTATAACTGTCAATAGAATATTTGTCGAATAAAGGTAAATAACTGAACTTATTCGCATTACTGATGCATCATTGTTAAGGGTAATAAACAAATATTTTGCTCAAAATCATTACCACAAAAATGGATTGGTAGACAAATAACGAGTATATACAATAACTACTACAATATGAGAGTGCACAGTTCTGTTTGTATTTTCTGTCGAATGAGTGATATCATATTGCAGTAAAACTCGAGTCAAATTCTATTTTTTGAACAAAATATGTAATTTTAAAGAAAAAAAAAACATACAACTTTGTTACAGAACATACTTCATAAAAGGTAAAAGGTGATGTAAGTTACATGCAACATTGTATTATTGGATATAAAGCGACAGAATTACATGTATATATGTCCAGTTTTAATCTTTTCCTGAAGATGCTAACATAGTTAGCGAATCACGTTTCGAGGCGTTGAAAAATCGGCTTGGTTAGTGGTAAAACAGTGTAGTGTATTATCGTGCCAAAGGTTCCAGTCTTCGATATATATGTCCTAGTTCAAGATAAACGAACATTATTTCGAAAAGGAATATTCACAGTAATCAATTCCCTCTCAATGCAGCTGTGAACAGCATCTATTTCCTGGTTATATGAATGTCGGATTGAAAACTTCATTGTGATCGATTTAATGTTTGGGTGATTCTGCATGAAAACTGAAATTGCAAGTTTAGTGACATGAGCAAATTTTTGTTTTGTGGCACGTAGCTATCGCTCCATAGTGTTAAGCATGTCAACTTTGTATCATCAGCAAAAATTACTCGATTTTTGATAAAGTTTTTGTCCCGAGTTTATGGTGAATCACACGGAAGACAATTCTCTATGATAGAATTGTCAATTCATCACTTTCTCACAATACAATTTGAGAGAGCAACAAACACAAGTACAAGATTTTTTTGATATCACAAAGTTGTATGTTCGAGAAATACCATTGTGATAAAACTGAACGAGCTATGAATAACGGAATCACAATGGTGTATGTGGCACATACAATTTCTTGACTGATGAAAAATGATATATAACCTTCCATACAACTATGATATAATGGTTGCCTAGTTCGTGCCATTGGTCATAGGACTTCGAAACTACATGGGAATTATAGACATATCGACATGCAATTATGCAACACTGAAAAGTTGACATGGGATGGGACAAGAAAAATAAATGCTATTTGGCGAATACAGAATAGATTTCTACCATTCCAGAAGTGAAAATCGATGACATGTTCCCATAATGACCCATCCCAAATATAAATAACCATGTGCATTCGTAATTGAGGAAGATTGATTTACAGGAACTTGCTCTCTATTTATAATCATTTGATTGGCTGATATATTGTCTTAGACATTCATCATTAATGATATCTATGGTAGACATTATTCAGAAAATAAAAAATGGAGGTTGTCACATCAACCCACTGGGCGTTGTAATTACAGGTATGTTTCCGTGTCCCCATAATACTCTATGAAAAAATATATATTTCGATTTGTTTTCAATCAATGGATAATACATTTATCGGTCCTCATTCTAAATAATGCATCAAATTTGAGAGTTTCTCAAATTATACAAGAGGTGTATGGAATAAAAAAAAAACGAAATATTTACATTTTCTCGATATACACACATACATGAAAGATTATGTATAGTCCAGCTCGTAAAAGATGATCGGCGGAAAGAATGTGAGTCCAGAGCA